GAATTAAATGACAACAGCAGTCGTCAACCTTTCTGGCACCAGGAACTGGTTTTGCGGAAGACAGTTTTCCCATGGACCGGGGTTGGGGGACGGCTTCGGGATGATTCAAGTGCATTATGTTTACTGTGTACTTTACTTCACCTCAGATTATCAGGCATTAGATGACAGAGGCTGGGGACCCCTGAATTACAGGACACCGAGTTGGTGCTGAAGAGAATCGCTTGGCATAGGGGAAAAAAGCCCATATATCTGGTGTTTGCAGTGTTGAGTGTGGTGGTGTGAGAGTCAACGGGAGACACAGGAGGAGTGTGTTTTTTCCCAGATCTTCTTGGAAGGGGGCCTGATAAGAACAGCACGACCAGTAGGAAGATACTGCCATAACTTGGCATGAGTTTAGAAAGGTCTGGCCTGGATCGTAAAAAGGGAAATGGAAAGAGCAGGAAGCAGAGCAGAGGAAAACTAGTCAGCAAATCCGACGACGGAGGAAGATGGGGAAACGGAAGCATTTCAGTCCTTTCCACAGGTTTGTTTCTGGATAACTGGAAAACTGTTTTTACTCTTAAATGCAATTTATCGATCCATCCATCCAACAAATGTTCACTGGCACTACCATATAGGAATTCTCAACCTCATAAAAAGGAACATTGTTTATTCTCTGAGCTCTTTCAGTTTATTGAGTCCCTGTTATGTTCCAGAATCTATGCAGGCACTGAGTTAGGATAAAAAGATAAGTCTCTACCATGAACTGATGAGGAGGTAAAAAATAAAAATTAATGTTGTTTCTTCAGCAGCATCTGTGCGTTTGGAAAAAACTGCTCCCTCACCGTTGCCTCAAGATCCCCCTTTGTCCTAACTCCAAACAGGGTTTGGCCCCACACAGATATAAAGATCTGGCCAGATCCACTGGTCTTAAGTGGCCAAAATAAAGGCAAAATTTACAAGTTTCTCTTCTTAAATTAAGTCACTTTATTTTACCACTTAAAAAAAAAATCTGATCTTAAGCATTTCATTATACAACATAGACATTTTCTTTGATCCCATTTTGAGTTAAGTTTAGAAAAACGTTATCAAGAATTTAGTTGGAAATTTTACTACAATGAAGGAGCAGAGAGCCTAAAAAAAATACCCACTAAAAACCCAAATTAGGTCCTGAAGAAAACACTGCAAGACAATAGGATGGTTGTTTGAACAGCAGGGCAGGACTGCTATATCTGGGGATTTCCACTTACCTCTCTCTAAAAGAATTCCAAAAGAAACTCTCTTATCTGCACTTCATCCCTGCATTTCTCAATCTTCCCTTCCCCAGAAGCCAAAGTGGGCAGAAATCTACTTACACCAAGCTGGGCAGGAATCCTTCCCTTTCTCTACCCAATAAATCAAAGTTGTTAGGAGTTGCCTCAAATAGTCTCACTCTTTCTCTCTGTGCCCCTGGAGTTTCTAAAATGGAAATAAAAGTACTTCCCTCATAAGGTTCTTTGGAGGACTAAATCATTCAGTTTGTTTATCCAAAGATGAGGACCCAGCTAATTCACATGTCTGAACTGATGCTAACTTAAGACCTAAAGTCCAACTTCTAAAAAATCTAAATGTATAGACAGGGGCAATTTGATAACCAAAGGAGAAATATCTTGCAAGGAAAAGAAAAATCAGAACATGACAAAAAGGAGTATTGGAAAATCAGAGTTTTAAATAAAAAGATGTATAAAATAAACTATTGGCATCAATTCCCATATGTCCTTAGGATTATATGATCATAGATTCTTCAACTAATACTAACTGTGTTGCTGGGGCAGGACATTTCACCTCTCTGGAGAAGAGAGCATCCTTGAAATTCTCTCTCTCAATGTTGTCCTTTAGGCTAAAGATGTTTTGGTTAAAAGGATGCTTTAAATGTAGCTTAAAATCAACAAAAGTTATTTCCTAAATAGCTTTCAAGTGATCCCAAACTGACCCAGATACATTGGGGTGCACTAAATTATGAATTATTAATTAAAAGACTCACTCATCAGGACTTCCTGGTGGTCCACAGGTTAAGAACCCGCCTGCCAATGCAGAGGATACAGGTTTGATCCCTAGTCTGGGAAGATCCCATATGCTGCACAGTAATAAAAAATACTGAGTCTGCACTCTAGAGCCTGTGCTCCACAAGAGGAGCCGCGGTGATAAGCCCGCACACCTCAACAAAGAGCAGCCACTACTTGCCACAACTAGAGAGCGCTCGCAGCAGCAACAGGCCCAGAGAAGCCATAAAACAACAACAACAAACCTCACTCATTGACCTCAAGGGGTTATAATCAAATTAAGGAATCAATATTCAAGTCATACAAATATTAACAAATAAACAAGTCAAATAAATGTTTACTAAGTCACACTGCACTGATACTAAGGATCAAGGAGAACTGAAGTAATCAGAGATGGCTTTGGAGGGATGGGGGACTCAGGTCAGGGTGGAGGAAGGGAAGGATCTGAATCAACAGAAGAAAAGGCACAGAATGAATATGAAGTCTTTGCTTTACAAAGTCTATGTTTTTTCTTTAACTTTAGTCCTGCTGCCACCTAGGGCTTCCCTGGTGGCTCAGAGGATAAAGCGTCTGCCTGTAAAGCGGGAGACCCAGGTTCGATCCCTAGGTTGGGAAGATCCCCTGGAGAAGGAAATGTCAACCCACTCCAGTATTCTTGCTCGGAGAATCCTATGGACAGAGAAGTGTGGCGGGCTACAGTCCACGGGGTTGCAAAGAGTAGGACACGACTGAGTGACTTCACTTTCTTTCTTTGCAACCTTGAACAAGTCATTTATTACTTTTACCTAATCCACAATTACTAAGAATCTACTATATATAATGTATTGTACATCATTTAAATAATGTAGATTTTCCAAGTTAAGAAATGGTGTATATGTGGGGGTGCTTTAAGATTAAAGAAGACACAGCTCGAAACTAACCCCAATCTCACATCATCCTGGTTATAAAACAATGAAACAACCGAAACCTGTTCTCTTAAAGAGAATTTTTTAAAACTTGCTGTTGCTATTTCACCATTCATCAATTAAAATCAAACTCAGCATGAAACCTACATTAAACACATGTTTAACTTTTACTTAGATCAGTCATAGTGTGGGAAAAAAATTTTTTACATGAAAATTTCAGAACCTTGCTCCATTCTTCTCCCATTTGAAAACCACAGTTGTCTTTTGCCACTAAAAACAGTACTTAATTCAACAGCTGTAGAAATAGCCAGAGCCCTTCAATAGCTCATTTATGATAAAGCATTGAATTTATCTAGCAAAAACACAACACATGCATGGGCACTTCCTTTTGCCCTGTGTATTCTAAATCTCTGCCAAATGCAGAGGAAAGAAAGTACAGATGGACAGGATATCCTGAAATTATTTGGTTTGCCTTAAGTCACTCCAGAGAGAAATCCAGTGCCTGATTCACAGTGAGAAATTCAAATTAAGTAGAAATATCTAGGGGAGCCAGTCCTGGGGCTGAAGGCAGGCATTCCTCACCAGTGGTTCACTAGGGAAGCTTGGAAGGATGGCTTTGCCTAAAGGGAAATCAAGAAATCTTGGCTTTTCAGAATTCATTTCCCTCATTCCACTAAGCTCATGGCTTAAGAGAAAGTGATTAAGGATAAAAGCATGCATGCCATTTCTTAAGAACACTAACAGGAACCAAGTACCTCAAAACCTATTACGTAAAATTACAACTGACTGAATTTAGAGCTGTGGAGGCATTTGAATATTATTGTGTATTTGGACACAATTCCTTAAAAAAAATTTTTTTTTCTTGGTACGCAGGATCTTAGTTCCCAGACCAGAGATTGAACCTGTGTCCCCTGCATTGGAAGAGGGGAGTTTTAACCACAGATATCCAGAGAAGTCCTAGAAACAACTCTTAATGGTATTGTATATATATTAAGTCATTGCACATCCAATACATTTCAGTAAATACCACAGAGGACCTAACAGTATGTGTTTGATACTATGCTTGGTACTGAGACTATATTGGCTTTTTTGTGATGCCAAACAACTTAATCACTATAAACCTGTTATTTCATCAATGTAAATATGTGAAATATGCATAGCTATGGTGAAGATTTAAAGAGCCAATGAATATAAAGTCCTGAGCCTTCATTCAAATCACAGCTTTCTTTTCCTTCTTCTTTTTTTAAATGATTACATTGGTAAACAAGACACACAGCCTGGTAATCTCAAAGCTCTAGTAGAAGATACAGACAATGGCCCAACATAGGGACAGTGATGATGATGATGATGATAAGGATCTAATAATAGCAGCTAATACTTATTTATACATTACTATGAGCAAGGCATTATTCTAAGCACATAGTGCATCAATCAATCCTTAAAACAACCCTCTGAAGTAAGTGACTAGGGCCATGGTGAAAAAGTGAGTGTTTTAAGTCGCTCAGTTGTGTCTGACTCTTCGTGAACCCATGGACTGTAGCCTGCCAGGCTCCTTTGTCCATGGAATTCTCCAGGCAAGAATACTGGAGTGGGCAGCTATTCCCTTCTCGAGGGGATCTTCAGGGGTCAAACCTAAATCTCCTGCAATGCAGGAGAGCCACCAGGTAAGCCCCAGGGTCATGATAGTTGATATTCAAATATGTGGGAATTATCCTCTAAACCTCATTCTTGAGTGGCTGGAAAAGCACCTTCTAGGAATTAATAATATTAAGCAGGTAGAATGACCTAAGGTTATGGGGTTGGGACAGTAAAAGAAGTTCTGAGCAAAACAAATTAACATGTAGGAATGCTCAGAGCAGAGAATGCACGTGGATGACCGAAGAACTGGAAGAAGCTCAGTTCTGGGGATGTCTATGTGAGGCCACCAGCAATGTATAAATTCCTGTGTTAGGAAAAGCACCCAAGAACTCCTGTCACACTGAGGACACCCGGCCTTTCCAGGTGTTCTCAGGAAAGGCCGGGTGTCCTCAGTGTGACAGGAGTTCTTGGGTGGTCATCTGCCCGAGAGGCTCACCTGTGAGCAGCAGCCTGTACTGGGGAATCCTCTGGACCGGCTTGAGCAGGTAGTGCTTGAGGGCCAGACTGGCACAGCGCGGGCTCATCTGAAAGGAAAGGCATCCAAAGTAAACACGAACATTTTCCTCCAAAGCAAAAGACCCAGACTCAAGGGCTCGGGGAGCCAAGTTTTAAATAGCCAGCAACTCTGGGAGGGGGTTCCGGGAGATACTCCCTTTATTTTAAGGCACAACTCCAATGCGGAGAGGGAGACCAGAGCCAACTCACCACGGAGCCCACCCTTGCTTGCAGGGAGGTCTCCGAAATCACTGACTCATGAGGAAATTCACAGCCCAGAAATAAAACTACTGGGAACTGGGCTCAAATAAACATCAGAGCCTATTGTCAATATACTCATAGTAACAACAGTTGATACCGGGGAGAAGGCAGAAATTAAAGACAACCTGAAAAACGGCCTTGCTAAGTAAACCTCTTACAAGCCTGAAGAATGTAAACTTTCTCAGATGACTGGCTACAAAGGACAGCCCCAAATCACACTGTCTATGGAAACATTTGATTCTGGAACCCTTCTGACTTGACCATGAGGACATTTGATTTTGCCTTTAAAGTTGTTTTCTGTAGTCTGTGTAACAGATACTGGTGCCCAATTCTGAGACCCACCTCCAGTCTCCATAACAGGTTATTTACCGTGGGGTGACAACAAAATGGCCAAGGGAAAATGTCCCCGTATCCTAAGATGTCCTGGGGTTCTTACACAGCTCAAGTGAGAAGAGAAGAGTTTTTCTAAATTTGTTCAGAGGGTTCTATTTGTTTCTAAACATGTACCTCCAGGGTCTGGTATGCAGAATGATTATGAAAGCATAATGATAATGCATGTTAAGAAAGCATCTGTTGTGCAAGCATCATTAGACATTGGACAGTTAACTTTCCCCGGTCTTGCGTGTTTTTTTTTGCTGCCAAGGCAACAGAACAACTCACTGGACAGTGATGAGAACCTGGGCCACAGCTACATATATATATAAATATATATATCACACTTCTATTCTTAATAGCCTGAAGACTTCAGAAGAAAGGAAAAGAGGGAAGAAAAGTTGACACATAATTTCAAAGTTTAATTACCATACAAATTAGAAGAAATATCTTAATACTTCTAAAGCTTTTCTGGTTTGGTGTAAATGGAATTTACTGTTAGTTTTAGCTTCAAAACAGAGAAGTGGTAGCAAAACAGAGGATGGCAGCAAAAATACCTCAAATTCTCTAACAACAGCAGCAAAACCTGGGTTTTTCTTGCACTGCTCATCCAACAATGCTATATTCTTATCAAACTCTTTGATGTATGTGGAATACATTTTTAGATATGGTCCCTTCTTTACAAAGATGTCAGCAATTCTTTGTTGTTCCGTCCTAAGGAGTGAGAAGGGATAGACAAGAAAAATAGTCATTATAGTATCCAAAATATATCCACTGATAAGCAGAGTCCCATTTCCAAGCCATCAGCTTATCTTTTTTCCTCTTCTTGTAAGAAATACCCCAAATACCCACTCTTTGCCATTTCAATTGTCATCACTATATTTTGCCTGGACTCTGCCAGTCCTGACTGGTCCTGTTTTTACCATTTCCTGCTTCTGTACAGCCAGAGACTTCAGAAGATTTAGATGAATTTCTAAGATAATTTTTTGTAAGAAGAATGATAAAGTGCAGACAGGGAAATTCTTTGTAATTACATTTTATTTTAGCATACCTTTAAAAGATAGCTTTTAGTCACTCCTCAGTCCTTAAACTGTATAATTATAATTTTAGTCATTCCTTAGCCCTTAAACTGTATAAATTTTATACTTAGGCTGTAGTGAAGTATTAATCACTATTTAGCATATTTTCCCAACATGTAGAGGCAAGATATTTCCAAAATAGGCAGAGGTATTTTTCTGGATTATATATAAATAACACTTAGAGGGAAATTTTTTTATCATGAAAGTAGATGATACACCATGTTGTTGTTCTAATAATTTTGGCGGTTGTCCATGAACTTCAACAGTAAATCCAACCCCCTAAACCAAACTTGCCACACATTTCCAAAGATGTCACCAAACTTTCTATTACTGTCTAAATATCATAACGGGCTTCCCTGGTGGCAAAAAGATGGCAAAAAGAATCTGCCTGTAATGTGGGAGATTGGGTTCGATCCCTAGGTTGGGAAGATCCCCTGGAGAAGGAAATGGCAACCCACTCCAATATTCTTGGCTGGAGAATTCCATGGACAGAAGAGCCTGGTAGGCTACAGTCCATGGGGCCGCAAAGAGTCAGACACAACTGAGTGACTAAAACACAAATACCGGTAATAGCAGTCAACCTCTGGTATTCTTTTCCTGTTGTGAAATCTACAGCATCTACAAAGATGTCATATATGTGTAAATTTTCTAAACCAAACAGCAAAATTTCCCTATTCTCTTGTTAACAGCCTCCTTTAGAAAATGCAGTTTCCTCTTTTTGAGGCTCCAAAAAGACAGACATTTAACAATGTTTCCAACATGAATATATCAACTAAACCCTCCTCCAAGTCTCAAAAATCTTGATTATCAAAGGGCAACTATAGAACGTTAAATTGGTCAAATATAGGCCCTTCTTGCTCTTGAGACAACATTACTAAAGAATTTTTAAAAAAAATGTAGAGTACTGAGCTCAGTGCATCAGTGAATTCTGGCCATCTAACGTGATCAATCTAGGGGACTTCCCTGGCAGTCCAATGGTTAAGACTATAAGCCTCCACTATGCAGGGGACACAGGTTCAATCCCCTTTCGGGGAAATAAGATCATGCATGATGTGCTGTGTGGCCAAAATTAAATAAAGTGATTAATCTACAGGTAATTACCAAGAAAATTCAATATATTGAAGAAAACACAATGTAAGGAACAACAAATCTTTGTCACATGCAGGTCCCTTCTGCCTTTATCTAAAATTGGAAACTCTGGGAAAGCTGGTTGGCCCATTTTTACCAGTTCGACATTCTTTCCTCCAGTTCCTTCAGGAGATCCCGATTGAGCTCATACAGCTGAGGCAAGTAGTACAGGATCTGATTTAGGGTCCGGTCCTCAATCACTGGTTTCCCAAGTTGCCTGGAAGCATGGGCTACTGCATCCCGGAAATCCTGTTACAGTTCAGAGGAGGAAAAACAATGTACACACACATACCACTTAATACAATGAAAAGCTTTTCCCCCAGTCACTCTCTTCACCACAACAATATAAACTGCAAACTGTATTTCCCATGTAGAGTTCAAATTAAAAGCACCCACTTCCTCTTACCCACTTACTTGGACAAGAAAGTACAGACAGACAGACAGACAGACAGACAGACAGACACACACACAGACACACCCGAGTGGCTGGGGTGGATATTTGGTTTTTAAACAGAACATGTGATATTTCTCTTAAATTGTTTGGTTTGATCTCCAAACTTAGCAATTATATTAAGGAGGTATCTGGAAATTATATTGGAACTCTAAACAGTCCTTAAAATTATTCCAATACTGCTATATGAACAAAATCCATTTATTTAAAATTTATTTAAAAGTCCCCAAAAGATCTTAATTAATTTTACATTGGGAGCATCCTTTTGTCCACTTCTGGTAATTACTTGCCAACTGCTGGAACATTCTAACTGAGGCATTTGGAGGGCGGTACATTCCTGATAATCAGAGAATATTGGGTCTAAGCCCTTGTTCCTATTTTACTGTATTTCATTGAGCTAACTCCATTTTCCTCATCTGTTAAATGGGTTGAGTGAGTGAGTGAAGTCACTCAGTTGTGTCCGACTCTTTGTGACCCCATGGACTATAGCTTACCAGGCTCCTCTGTCCATGGAATTTTCCAGGCAAGAGTACTGGAGTGGGTTGCCATTTCCTTCTCCAGGTTAAATGGGTTATAAGACTTTAATTAGATACTGCATACAAAGCTTTCTGCAATGTATTTGGCACACAGACTCAACAACATATTTTAACTCTGGACTTGAAACACTCTTCCCTCTATCCAACCTCCCCATAAATTCAAAAGAATTTATACTTTATAGAAATTTAAAACTTTTCTCATCACACATTCTTTTTCCTTGACTTTCCCCTATAAGACTATTTATACCACGTTTTAAGACAGGTCCACCCTACCCCACCTTCTCTCTGCAGAGAACATGGAAAGGGTGAGGCTGGAGATGGTACCTGGCCAGAATTCAATCTTGAAGCCTACCCTCAGGGGATAAGTAAGACAATAGTAAACTGTATCACAGTCTTGAGGATTCAAAAAAAGATTGTTCCTTCTTAGAAAGGAAATTTAATTAAAAACCTTAAAGCAAAGGCTGGGTAAAACAGACTCTTTACTAGGCTTTATCTTTTTTCTCCTTCTAACTGCTTCCCTTCAGGAATTCACTGGGCAAATCAAAAAAACAAAACAAAGACCCTGATTTCTTCCCTGATCCCTTTTAATGCCTACCCCATACATACATACACTAACCATTAGTATCAGTATTGAGCTTCTTGGGAAGGACAACAAACTCATATCTAATTTGAAAGTAAACAAAAGCTGCCAAGAGTAATGAAAATAAAAACAACAGCAAACAAATGGGACCTAATCAAACTTAAAAAGTTTCTGCAAAGCAAAGGAAACCATAAACAAAAGGAAAAAAATCCACAGAATGGGAAAAAATATTTGCAAATAAAGTGACCTACAAAGGATTAATCTCCAAAATATACAACTAGCTCATGCAGCTCTATGTCAAAAAAACAAACAATCCAATCAAAAAATGAACAGAAGATCTAAATAGGTATTTCTCCAAAGAAGACATACAGATATCCAAGAGGCTCATGAAAAAATGCTCAACATCACCAATGATCAGAAAAATGCAAATCGAAACTACAGTGAAGTATCACCTGATACTTTTATTTTATTGGGCTCCAAAATCACTGCAGATGGTAACTGCAGTCATGAAATTAAAAGATGCTTGCTCCTTGGAAGAAAAGCTATGACCAACCCAGACAGCATATTAAAAAGCAGAGACATTGCTTTGCCAGCAAAGGTCCATCTAGTCAAAGCTATGGTTTTTCGAGTAGTCATTTATGGTTGTGAGAGTTGGACTATAAAGAAAGCTGAGCACCAAAGAATTGATGCTTTTGAACTGTGGTGTTGGAGAAGACTCTTGAGAATCCTTTGGACTGCAAGGAGATCCAACCAGTCCATCCTAAAGGAGACTGGTCCTGAATATTCATTGGAAGGACTGATGTTGAAGCTGAAACTCCAATACTTTGGCCACCTGATGACGAAGAACTGACTCACTGGAAAGGACCCAGATGCTGGGAAAGACTGAAGTTGGGAGGAGAAGGGGACAACAGAGGATGAGATGGTTGGATGGCATCACCGACTCAATGGACATGAGTTTCAGTAAGCTCCGGGAGTTGATGATGGACAGAGAGGCCTAGCATGCTTCAGTCCATGGGGGTCACAAAAAATCAGACACAACTGAGTGACTGAACTGAACTGAATCACCTCTTACAGGTCAGGATGGCATCATCAAAATATCTACAAATAATAAATGCTAGAGAGACTGCGGAGAAAAGGGAACCCTCCTACACTGTGGGTGGGAATGTAAATTCGTACAGCTACTAGGGGAACAGTATGGACGTTCCTTAAAATACTAAAAACAGAACTACCATATGATCCAGCAATCCCATTCCTGGGCATCTATCAGGAGAAAATCATACTTCACAAGGATACATGCAAATGTTCATTGCAGTACTATTTGCAATAGTCAAGACATGGAGGGGACTTCCCTAGTAGTTGAGTGGTTAAGATCCCTGTTTTCATTGCAGAAGGCAAGGGTTCGACCCCTGGTTGAGGAACCAGATTTTGTGATTCTGCATGTCAGCCTGCACAAGAAAAGGGAAAAAAGGAAACTGACTCCTCTTCTAAGGTACATTTTAGAGACGTCAAATCCTATGCTCAACAAGTGCTAATAAACCCTTCATTAGTCCTCAGTGGGAGAAGGCAACGGCACCCCACTCCAGTGCTCTTGCCTGGAAAAGCCCATGGATGGAGGAGCCTGGTGGGCTACAGTCCATGGGGTCACTAAGAGTCAGACACGACTGAGTGACTTCACTTTCACTTTTCACTTTCATGCATTGGAGAAGGAAATGGCAACCCACACCAGTGTTCTTGCCTGGAGAATCCCAGGGACGGCGGAGCCTGGTGGGCTGCCGTCTATGGGATCGCACAGAGTCGGACACGACTGAAGCGACTTAGCAGCAGCAGCAGCAGTCCCCAGTGTGTTCAGTTGCTAAGTTGTGTCCAGCTCTTTGTGATCCCATGGACTGTAGCCCACCCAAGGAATTTTCCAGGCAAGAATACTGGAGTGAGTTACCATTTCCTCCTGCAGGGATCTTTCCGCATCTCCTGTGTCTCCTGCATTGAAAGGTGGATTCTTTACCACTGAGACACCTGGGAAACCCTCAGTACCTGGGACTAACTTTATCAGCCCAAAATAGTCATATTAACCCAAAGGAACCAAAATACTTCCACCAGTAACTAAAGAACTACTTTTCCAACTAATTACTGTAATATAAAATAAGAATTCATTACTTGTATAAACTAAAATCCAGAAAACCACACAAAACAACTCCACAAACCAAATTGACTGGGGCCAAATTCCACCTCCAAACAGCCTGTTTTTATCAGCACTCACATAGAGTAAGAGAAAATTGAGCTAACTTAACATTTTTGACAGTCATCAGGATTTCCAGGCAGAACTATAGAGAATATATTTACATATCACAAATAACATCCTCAACTGTAAATACACTCAAAGCACTATGGTTAAACATCTTCTATGGCATTTTTCATTTTCCCAGTTTAACGACTAATATAATTAAGATGCAAGAGTTCCTTTTTCAGCAGAACAAGAAGCACTGATAGGTTAAATGATGAATATATTTGTCCCTTGGCAGCAGGATGACTTTTATTTTCCAGTTAGAAGGCATTTCCTCAGCCAGGACAGTGACAGCAGTTAGCTGCTAAGTAGCTTAAGGATCTATTTGACACAGCTTTTGCTAGACTCTGCATTCCATGTCTGCCACCACTGCCAAAAAGGAAACTGGTTTGTTTAAGACACAGTCAACAGAGACCAGCTAGTATGCTGTGCTGACGAGTAAGGTGGTCACCTCTAACTGGAGTTCCCTGACACACACCTGGCAAAACTGTGGTTTTTGTTTTGAGTACTACTGGGTAATGTCAGCAGTTCTGGAGGAACGAATGGCTCAAGATGCCATTTTTTTTGGTTGTACTGTGCTCCTTGGAAGAAAAGCTATGACAAACCTAGAGAGCATATTAAAAAGCAGAGACATTACTGTGCCAACAAAGGTCCGTCTAGTCAAAGCTATGGTTTTTCCAGTAGTCATGTATGGGTGTGAGAGTTGAATCATAAAGAAAATGAGTACCAAAGAATTGATGCTTTTTAACTGTAGTGTTGGAGAAGACTCTTGGAGTCCCTTGGACTGCAAAATCAAACCAGTTAATCCTAAAGGAAATCAGTCCTGAATATTCATTGAAAGGACTGGTGCTGAAGCTGAAGCTCCAATACTTTGGGCATCTGATGTGAAGAGCCAACTCACTGGAAAAGACCCTGATGCTGGGAAAGATTGAAGGCAGGAGGAGAAGGGGACAACAGAGGATGAGATAGATGGCATCACCAATTCGATGGACATGAGTTTAAGGAGGCTCTGGGGGTTGATGATGGACAAGGAAGCCTGACGTGCTGCTGTCCATGGGGTTGCAAAAAGTCAGACATGACTGAGCGACTGAACTGAACTGTGAGGCATGTAGGATCTTAGTTCCCAGACCAGGGATTGAACCCATGACCCCTGCAGTGGAAGCACTTGTCTTAACCATTAAGCCACCAGGGAAGTCTGCCAGGATGTATTTTTTTTTTTTAATTATGAGAGCATGTCAAAAGAGAAATATAATAATTATAAGAGCAAAAGAAGAATGTTTACGATGGCCTTCTTAACTGCACACAGCAGCCCTGGGCCCCATCTCATTTCCCCACCCTGTGGGCCACCATCCCCTGAAAGCCATGTGCAGTGGTCACAGTGCCAGATGTAACTAAACCATG